TCTCGTTAATAGTAATGCAACGGTAAAAAGACAGACGAAAACGGACGTCGGATGAAGAAGTTATGAATTTTTAACGGACTAATCCTGTCCCGGCCTGTAAAAAATATAACTGTTAAAATAAATTCAAAATTAGCCGATGGAGTCTAAACGAAAGTTGTAGATTACGTTCCCGCCTACGCGTGGATATAAAGAACGTCGAAAACGGAGTTCATATGAAGAAGATATGAATTTCCAAAGTTTTTAAAATAATTAATATTTATTTTTAATTATCTATTTATTTATTATTCGTTCTTTACAACCGACCGCAGGAATCTACTTTACACCGGAGAAAAGGAAAAGGAGCCGGCAACTATTCGAGTACTGCGCGCTTACGCCCAGCGTAATTCTCGAGTACGCCCCGCGTACGGACTACGCCCAGCGTAGTCATGGAGTACGCCCCGCGTAAACCGAGGTTCCAGCGACTATAAATAGAAACCGAAGTTCAGCCATTTTCCTTACCAATATTCATTCCTCTCTCTAAATTTTGCCTTGGTTTGCGTGCCAATAATATCCCGAAGCCCCGATATTATTCCCAAGCCCCGAAGCAAGTTTTGAAGCCCCGAAGATCCCGAGAAGTGCAACTCTCGAGCCGAAGCTCTGCTCGCGAGAAGCTCGTTTTTTTGTGAAGATCTTCCAGGACTACCGAGGAATACTACTTCTACAAGTCGTAGTGCTGTCCGGTTATCTTCTGAACAAGTGAGTGTGTAGTTACTTTCTTCTAACGCATATTATGAAGTATTTATTATAAAATATGTGTGATGTGTATATTTGGTTGTTATATGTGTGAATGTATATTCACTTTCTTCTATCTCATATATATGATATATTATCTATGAAATATGTGTTATATGTGTGTGCCTTATCTGTTATGTGGAATATATATTAAATGAACATGCTTTACAGGTTTTAAAACTATGCATAAAAATATATATTTTTATCTACTAATATGTTGGGTAGAACATGGGTAGATAGTTGATGTGTGATAAACAGATGAGAGGCCTCGATGTTGTTGTTGATCTAGTCATCTAGCGGAGTATGGATGACGACCACGGACTCTTCTACGCAGTCCAGTGGAACACTAGCAGGCTCATAACCTGTAGGTGTTGTGAACGACGTGTTCACCGGTGTACTCTACTCCCCCACATGGTTGCCTTTAGGACATCTATTGTTGAGGAAACCCCTTAGCAGTAATGTCCGTCCCGATGAACTTTCCTAGATTAGGTCCCTTTAGATAGATGTTATTTTAGGGACGTAAAGTGAGGATAACGGGAATGGGTAATCGGGTTATTGTTGGTCGGTAAAAATTAAATATAATTATTTATTGCGGGTTGAAAACCCTATATGCTCACCAGGCTCCCAAGCCTGACCCACTCAGTTTATTTGTATTACAGGAAGTGGCGCAAGGGCATAAGATGGATGAATCATCAAGTTGTTTTGTTTATGAGCCTTTATATGAATTCAACTGTTGTATTGCTTGTAATATTTGTTTATGCTTTTGGTTTGTTTATCAGAACATGACATCCCGAATATTGTTATAAAATGATTATGCATCTTTGATAAAATGCTTTGATAAACTTTATTTTATCATATTTTGTTTTGGGACAAATTCCGCAACTCTTTTGAATAAAAGAAAAAGATTTACTCTGAAAATATTTTTAAAAGCATAAATAAAACCGGTCTTTTCTGGCCGAGATTTTAGGGATGTCACAAACTGCATCGGTCTTACCCCGGCATACTAATACTACTTAAACGGACCGACATTGTGGCCTTATACCCGTTCCTACTGGAAAGCGACTCACCTCACACTACTGAAGTTCCGCTGATAAAACCCTAGCTGCTGGATGACAGATTCTCGAATCTGTCAACATCAAAATAACACCCAATTAATAATTGGGTTCTAACACATAACCGTAAGTCCATGCTTGGGGTAAAAGACTGCTTTACCCCTATCTTAGTTTGACTCAAGCCCAGGGCCCAAACCAAGGCCGAAAAGTCTAATAACGAACCAAGGCCCAATTATGGCCTTTCTATGGCCCAATTTTCCAAATTGGGCCCAAAATCCTTACGTGGGCCTTACCCTAAGTCCATTAGATTATTCTAGTTCATTTGCTTGCTCTTGGATGGTCCATTATAATCCCAATCACCAAGGCCCAATAGGAAGGCCCAACTCAAAGTCCAAGTGAAATTAGGGTTTCATATAAAATGACAATTAGGGTTTTCTCACTTAACCCATTAAGGACTTAATCCCTTAAGTCCATCACTCTTCTAAATAAATCATATGGCGTGATTGGGCTTAATACACAATTCCAATCCCAATGGCCCAAAAGTGGGCCCGAAAGAGTCTAAGGCCCAAATACTCACAATTAGGGTTTTCACCCAAACATGGCCCAATAGGCCCAAAATTAATCTTTAATCCCATTAGGGTTTTGCTAGTGGGGCACCACCTACTACCACCTCGGGTAGTGGTGGTCAATGGCGGCACACAGCGATGGCCACCACCTTACGGTGGTGGTTTGAGTTTCTTTTCATTAATCTTTTCGCTAATTACAATTACAAGGCTTTTAATCCAAAGATAAACACACACAAACTAACTACTCTAACACACACACACAGCCACCCTAGTGGTGGCCGGTGGTGGCACGTGGCGGCAACCACCACCTCACGGTGGTGGTGGCGGCGGATCTCTGATTTTCTGACCATACGCAGTGCAAACAACTTCACAAACACACCCAATCGGAAGATTTATTCGCATAGCCACCACCTCACGGTGGCTTGTGGTGGCAGGAACTGTTTCAGGGCAATAACCACCATGGTCAGCTGCCATGGTGGGTTTTTCTCTCGATCTCCGGCTAAACTATCCCTCACACGTCACAAACATAATCACAACCCACCTGGTGGCGTGCAATGGTGAAGGCAGCAAGGTTTTTGGCGATGACAGCCACGACGGTCGGGAGATATGGCGGCGGCGCGATATGACGGTGGTTGCAGTGGCTGGAGCAACGACCTGAGTAGTCGAACCGAGCCAAACATCGGTGATGGTCGTGACTGAGAAGAAACCACCGCGAAACGAGGCAGCGCCGACATCAAGAAAGAGAGAGGAAGGTGGCGATCATAACTGTCCGGCGGACGGCAGCGGCGGTCCAAGGCATCAATTTACAACGTAGAAGGGTTGGACTCCGGCGACTTGGCTTCAGTGGTGGCAAGGAGGAAAGGCAGGCGACAAAAGCTCACACGGCGGCCACAACTGACCGGAAAAACACGCATGGTGGTCAACTTCGGCGGTTTCTGGATTCACAGTGGCTAGGAGGTTGCGACGACTGGAAGGGAGGTGAGGTGAAGGTGGCTGCTGGAGGGCTTTCGATGATGGCAGCTGCCTCCATGAGCTAGGGTTAGGTTACCGGGTGACGAGTCTTATATACCCCGATTCCATAAGAAAGTTTCCCATATTGACAGATTCTACCCCTCAATCCCCATTTTCTTTCAACTTAAGCCCAACACTTACACTTTAGCCCCTGGCCCCATTAAATCTTTCCAACTTCAATCCAAAATTTACCGTTCAGTCCCTGACTTTGAAAATCCCTTTCATAGTATGTCCTAATAATTACCAAACAAACCTCAACCTTCAAACTTCTATACAATTTAATCCGAAAATCACATTTTAACCCCAACTTCTATAATTATGACTTTTAACTCCTCGAAACTAACGCATTGCTCAAATATTATTGATTTTAGGGCTTCTATACATTATTTAATTATTTTATAAACGGGGTGGTACACAACAATTTATGTTTTATATAATCATATAGTACAACCATCTAATGCATAGATTGTTATGTATGGCTAAAAAAATATTATGTACAAATCATTACCCTATTTCAATCTAGAACACGAGGTAATTAATTATAAGTATGATAATTCCAATTATGCATGCAAACTTTTAATGATTTAGGCGGGGCTTTGCTTTTTCATTAAAAATCAATTTTTATTTTTGTTTAATTTCGAAAAAAAGCAATTGATATGAAGCAAACGAAATAGTCATTTTGCACACAATATAACCATATAGGGCGTGTTCGACAAAACTAGCTGGTAGCGGGTAACTTATAGCGGGTAGCTTGTAGCTTGTAGCGTTTTGTTAAACGTTACATGAAGTAGCATTTGAATTTCCAGTATTTTGTTTAAACTAAACGTTAAAAGTTTTGTAGTGCCGAACAGAGTGTTTTTTCAAACGCTAAAAACTCTCAAACGCTCCATGTCAAATACGCTCTAGGCCGATCATGACACATGATCAAAATTTATGCTTTGATAGAAAAAAAAAGATGGGGTATATTTTTGTCATTTTAGTATTTTTCACGGAAGTAAATATGAAAGTATATGTATAATTATACAAAACCAATGTTTTAAAACCCGGGTCGACCCGGCCGGTTCAACCGGTTGGACCGTGACCCGGGGTAGAAGGCGGATCAATTGAGAACGGTTTTTTGTAAAAATACGAACCGGATCGAACCGACCGGGTTTCTCCTAAACCGTGGTCGAACCGTTATATCGAACCGGTTAAAACCGGATTGACCCGTTTTAATAGGGTTTGGATAGTTGGATACACGTAGCGAACGCCAAAACAACGAGCCATTTGTGGCTTCTTCAATGTTTAAACTTTGTGGACATCAAATTATTGGTTTTATATGTTTATACGTTATGAGGGAAAGTAAAAATATATGAAAATAGAAAAAGACCATAAATCGGGTTGACCCGACGGTTGAACCGGTTGACCCGTGAACCGGTCATCACACCGGGTCCACTAAAAACCCGGGTTTTAAAACATTTTACAAAACTAGAATTAGAGCTATACTTACGATTATACAACCAAACTAACAAGAAAGAATAACTAACATTAAACTACACTACCAGAGATTTGCATTAAAAAAAGGACATTATCTCTCATCTTCTACCTCAGCTTATCTAGTTCACCGGCCGTTCAGATTTGCATATTGTTCAAACATGGCAGTCCCGGAATGATCCTCAATCACCTGAACTTCCGCCGGATTCTGACTCGCCTGAGCAGGTGTCATAACCGGCCTATTATCAACCGCCGGAGCAAGCGGTGCAGCATTCGCTAACGCCGATCCACCACCACTACTTCCGCCGCCTTCCTCCGCTTTCCCCTGGTCCTGTAATTGCAACGCGTACTCCAAGTTCCACAAAACATCTCCCATGGTCGGCCGGTCAACACCGTATTCCGCCAAACACTTTTCCGCTGCCTCTGCAAACTTGTTCATCGACTCTGGGTTGATTTTTCCGACCAAATTAGGGTCGATTATTTTGTCCAGTAAACCCTTTCGTTTCCATTGCATCGCCCATTCTGCTAAGTTGACTTGTTCTCTGGGTAAAGACGGGTCGATGGCGGATCGGGCACATAAAACTTCCAGCAACACCACCCCAAACGAATACACATCGGATTTATCTGTTAATTGTTGTTTACGAAAGTATTCCGGATCTAAATACCCGAAGCTTCCTTTCACAGCAGTGCTCACATGGGCTTCGCCCATTCCGACGTCTTTCGAAAGCCCAAAATCCGCCATTTTTGCAGTGAAGTTTTCGTCTAGAAGAATGTTGGTGGTTTTCACATCACGGTGGATGATGGCGGTGGCCGACCCTGTGTGGAGGTAGTGCAACCCACGTGCCGCCCCGATGCAAATCTCCAATCTTTGCTTCCATGAAACCACCGGCAACCCTTTCCCGTATAAATGGTCTCTGAGAGGGCCGTGTTCCATGAACTCGTAGACTAGAATCATCTCGGCGTTCTCGTCACAGTACCCGATCAACGATACCAGGTGGCGGTGGCGGAGTTTGGATAGCATCTGGAGCTCAGTTTGGAACTCGTTGATGCCTTGTTCTGATTGTGGGTTTCCACGTTTCACGGCGACTTTTGTTCCATCTTCGAGTATTCCAAGGTAGACGTTTCCAAAACCTCCGATTCCGATCACTGATTTGGAATCCCAATTCTTTGTAGCGTCTTGTAATTCTGCAAACGAAAGGTATCGGCCTAGCCCCTGTGTTGATGAATAGAACGCGCTTTTCTTCGAGCCCAATGAGTTTTTGCTCGACGACAGAAAACTGGCGTCGCCGGCGTGAACGGGAAGCAACCACGACGAGAAACTATTCTTCTTCTGCCAATCTTGAGGTCTCTTTTGCCATTTCACAGCCATAGCACCTAACCCGGCGAACGCTCCAAACATCATCGCGAAACCAACCGCCGCCACCGTACCCCGCCCTGGTCCGGTAGCCGACCTCCCGTCAGCGCCAAACTCCCCGTCTAAACTGTTCACCGAATTGTTGATTCGCAAGATTTCGAGACCGTTTAGGATCGCGTTTTTGGTACCCATTGGTTCGTTCAACGGACCAACTTGAATGAAGAACGGATTTGAAATCATAGGCGGCTCCACAAACACGTCATGGTAGTAAGCTACCGCTAAGCCGTTGGTTATCGACGACAGATCGAGGGCTGAGACTGCGATTTTCCCGCCAACATACACATTGAAGTACAATTCGTTTAGCGTTTTGCTGACAATATCAGCAAAATGCAGACGAATGAGATACGGATAGGATTTATCGAGATCAAATTGCCAAGTGACATTGAAATTAGGGGCGATTGTGTTCGAAGTCCCCATTTCCATGGCGGATGCGTACACTGTAGGCGGTGCAATCAACGGCGAACCGCCTTCAAGATAGGTAATAACGTTCGGTGCTAACGATATGTTTTTCGCCGCTGACGGAGGTTTAAGGAACTTTTCATCGGAATTCCAAGTTCGCCCTAGGGTATCATTTCCCGGAGTGATGGTAGGCCCACCGACATTGAGCCGATAGATTTTCCGATATGAGTATCTCGTCATTCCGTGGATTTTTTTCCCGACAGGGAAGAGAGCGTCACTGGTGTCGGTAATCACCATATCCGGGGTGGAAACCACCTCTATCGCGTTAACAAACGCCGGAGATTCCTTTTTCCCACAGAATCTAAGATCGAGGCGCTCTGATGTCACATTCATGAGGTATTCATGCATTTCCAATTCTTTCGGAGTATATCTATGGAGGAGAACCAAAGCGTCCGCCGCGACCACCGTAAACTTCGTTTCCTGCAATTTAAATTCGTTATTCGTCCCGATTATCGGGAAGAAATGCAGTCTCACCCAATGCCAACCGGTTTTCGTGACACGAAATGAATACGTGGCTTCGGCATCGAAAACCTTGGCGGATTTGTAAATCGGGAGAGGCACATTGGCGGATTGATCGGCCACGGAGATTTCACGGCCTTTGTATTGCAAATATTGCGATGAAGTTGAATCGGAGGAGAATATGCGTCTGTCGGGGAGGGTGGTTTGGGAGGAGGAACCGCAGTCTATGAGGTAGTTATCGGGAGGTGTAAATGAATCGGATTTAGCCGGAGCAGTTGCAATGAAGGCGGAGACGGTGGTGATTGTGCCAGAGAAGAGAAGAAAGAGAAGGATCGACATGAATGTTCATCTTTCCATTTGTGGGGAAGATGGTGGAAAGAGAAAAATATTATGTTCCGCAAATTCTGTACGAAGCAAAAGGATTGAAAACGTGTGGGTTGTTTTTAAATTTACCAACTGCTTTCCAAATATACAAATGAATTACATTTTACGTTGATGACTTGATTTAAATTTACAGAAATAGTCACTGTAGTTTGTTAAATTTATATTTTTGGTCCCTGATTAAAAACAGTTTATAGTTTATACCCCTTTTGCTTTTGAAAATTACAACAATGGTCCATGGTAAAAGACCTTGGTCTATATAAAAATTTATAGTTTTGGTTCTTGGTTGAAAGCAATTGACAATAAAAATTTATAGTTTTGGTTCTTGGTTGAAAGCAATTGACAATTTATATGAGGCTTTTGAAAATTACACCAATGGTCCCATGGTAAAGACCTTGGTTCATATAATGTGGTGTTTGGCTAAGCTTTTTAAAACAACTTGTTATGGTTCCATATTACTATAAGTTAAAAAAGTGTTTGGATGATCAAAGTAACTTATCCGGTGGGAAACCTCTAATAAGTCATTTTTTTATAAGTAACCATTCACTAGCTTATTAACTTATAAGCTAATAAGTTATAAGTTATAAGCTAATAAGTAATCCCAAACACCCCTTAAATTACACTTTTTATTATTTTCATTTTCTTTTACCAATTTATAACTTTTAAGAATATAAAATAAATTACGGGCCACCTCCCGTAACCCCCATTAGGATGTTTAAAACCGGATATCCGAATTTTGGATAGTGAATTTTCAATAACTAAATTCGAATCCAAAATTTCGGATATTGGAAATGGATATCCGAAAATTTCACTTCATATAATTTTAAAATAATAACTAGTAATCTACAACAAATTAAAATCAAACTTAATTTACAATTTAACATAAAAATAAAACTAGTAATACAATATCCAAAGCCATTTAACATAATCAATTATAACATCCAAACGAAGGATTGTTGATTTTGAATTCATTCCATTTTGAATTCATTTCATCCGTGCATAAACATTTTTGAAATGAAAAGGTTTTAAAAGTTGTGTAGAAGGTAGGTTGTGTGTCAAAAATGAAATAAAAGGATTGTACTTATAGTGTTTTTTGAAAAAAATAAAATAAAATTTAAAAATACCAAATTCTAACCGTTGGCAACGGCTAGAAACAACTCCTTCCCCATTTTCACGTGTGGTAAACCTATACCCGAACAAAGCTATACCACATTTTTTTGGCACCTCGTTACGGTGTTTACCGTATACCGTATTTTACCACGGTATGCGATACACGGTGCACCGTATAGCCTCATATATGCAGTTTAATTTGTATCATATCTGCAATGTATGTCTTTTCACGATGTTACACGAATGTCCTATGGTGATTATTAAATGAAACGTAGGATATAAGACAAATGTTTGAGAAAGTTACAAATAAAAAATCTCCTTACAAATAAAAAATCTCATTATCATGCAACATGTCAACTTATTAATTCTCCATTTTAAAATTTAAATTTTACATTTTCAACTCTAATTACATTAAATTAATAATTGATTTATTCTCATATTGACAAGTGTCATAATATTAGAAAATTTCATTAATATTATGTCACTTATCATGCAACATGTCAACTTATTAATTCTCCATTTTAAAATTTAAATTTTACATTTTCAACTTTAACTACATTAAATTAATAATTGATTTATTCATTTTAAATTTCAAATTTTAAATTTCACATTTACATTCTAGTTACACTAAATTAATAACATTATAATATTTTTTTAATTAATATATATTATAAGGCGATATAATTTCATGTATTTATTTAGATTAACGATTATAATTTTATATAACTAAAAAATATCTTTTAATTAATAATATATTTAAAAAATTTATTTGAAATAATTGATTAATAGTTTTAAGTTTTTACTATGAAATTTTAATTAATTTTATAACCGTAATTCTCACGAGTTATAAACTAGTGTAAAAATAAATGGTCGAGATTGATTTTTTATTTTTATTTTGTTTTTGAACGGCAAATACAATATAATCCTAAACTACTCCTAAATCCACTTATTTCTCCGATGAGACTTGAACCCTCAACCTCAAGGAGGGAGGACAACATCTGATACCGCTGGGCTAGAAGCCCTTTGGTCGAGATTGATGACTACTAATTATGCACTCTATTATATCTTTCAAGCAATTGCATTTAAATGCCATGTTTTTATAAATTTTTAGTTTTGTTTTGCTCGACCGCCATTCAGTTATTGGACAATTGCGAATCTTTAAAAACCTTCATATGTGTCAATAATAGAATAACAAACGTTGTGAAATGAAATCATCGATTGCTGCTTAGTCCGGAATATACATCACTGTTGTCCGAAATGTGATGTTATTTTACTAATTCTAAAAAAAAAAAAAAGTTGGTTGTGCCCCATGATCATTTTTGTCTATATTCTTTAATTGAATTCAAACATGAAAATATATAGTCTAAGTTAGTAGTTTCCCAAACTTGAAGGGGTCTAAGTATAACAATAGCCAAATCTTCATCTTTGCCCAAGAGATACGGCGGCGCATAAAATCATGAACAACAGTTATTTATCCTAATAATAATCATTTCAAGTATCAATTGTTCAATTCACATTAGTATTACAGTACACACTGTGCTTATGCTTTTTTAGAACTATAGGGGCAATTTGGTAATTTTCATGCGACGGTTTGTCTTTCTGCTTCATTTAACTTGGGTTCATACGTGCTGCAGGCATGTACCTTTCCGCCTCCAGCTTTCTCTATCCATCACAGTCTCACTTATTGTAGCTATTAACAATGGCGGAAATTGCAGGCATCTATAAACAGCAAATGAAGAGGAAACGAAGCAATGAAGTCGTGAAAGAGAAGTGGGCGAAGCATTACTCGTCGAATCACCATATATTGTTGGTTGGTGAAGGAGATTTCTCGTTTTCTGTGAGTCTGGCTATTATGGCTTTTGGCTCCGCTTCCAATATTGTAGCTTCTTCCATCGATTCTTATGGTAAATCATCCTTGCTACATTAAATCGCCATTTCTGACCTGTTATCATGTCTATGGTTTCCATGATCAAGTGTTTTTCTGGTAGAATTAACACGAAAAAAGAGTTTAATTGCTCAGAATATTTTAAGTTGTTTCTTAAGAATACTTGAATAATAGTATCATTTTTTAAATGCAAAAAGATGGAGATCTTATTTGGTCTTGTGATTTGGGATAATTTCATTTTTACTAGATTATCTTATCGAGAATTACAAGCATGCAAAAGCAAACTTGGATATCTTGCGTAAATTTGGAGCTCAACTGTTGCATGTAGTTAATGCAGTCAAAAATGAAGAATCATACTGACCTTCGAATGCAGAAGTTTGATCGCATTGTATATAATTTCCCACATTCTGGTGATCGAGGGAAAGAAAGTGACGAAGAAATCATTGTGTAAGATTCTTTTCTTGTTTAATTAACCATATAAAAGAGACATCTAACTTATTTATCCTTTGTACTCCTTTCTTTTGTTTTCATTTCCCATTTGGTGTTTCCCATTTGGTGTTGCTTGTAGGAACCACCAAAATTTGGTTCAAAGTTTCTTGTGGAATGCGAGGGCCTTGTTGCGTCCAAAAGGTGAAATACATGTAAACTCAAACCTTAATTGGAATATTGAAGAATATGCAAGTGAATGTGGTCAGTGGCGGAGCCAGACTCAAAGCAAAGGGGTATCCTAATTTTTTTTCCGGGTATCAACGCAACGGTTGAGCATGGGGCAGGTCGGGTCAGTTTTACCTAAAATCGAACCCAAAACCGATAGCCTCGGTTTTGAAACTTTTAAAACCAAACCAAACCCAAACCCAAACTCATCGGTTCAGTGTTTTGGTTTTCAGTTTGTACATTGGTTTTCAGTTTGTACATGAGTTTTCCGGTTTGGTTTTGGTTTTAAACTCAAACCTTAATTGAATCATTAGCTAACTTTAAGACTTGTTATATAAACATGAAGATGAAGTATCTTTTGATACTTGAATCAATGTGAGACTCAAAGTTGATATAAAATGAATCATGATGTGGAAAAGTTGTCTCCAAAATTAGCAAGTGGCAAATAGTTCAGGGGTTATTTCCGTAACTTATCATTTACTATTCATAGTTTGACTATGAATAATAATATATATGTGAATTGAATGAAGAATTGGACGGTGTATATATGTGGTCAAAGTAAGGCGCCTAAAACAATTGTCCGCCTACAATTTGGACGGCTTTTCTTCTTTCCTTTCATATGATATTGCTTTTGGCTATAAATAGCCTGAGCCATGAGCCAGAAAGATAAGAAAATAATTATCCAAGTATATATAGAAAAGCATTACATATATATATACTGATACACCACCGTGTATTTTATCTCTCCCACTCTATTTGTAATCTCTTTCATAATCACTGTAAACACTGCAAATTATAGTGAATTGTTTCTCGGCTTCCTCCGCCCATGGTTTTTTTCCCGATTTGGGTTTCCACGTAAATTCCTGTGTCTCTATACTATTTATTTTATTCGTATTACGTTGTGATTAATACGCTTTGATAATTTTTGATCCCATTCCGCATTAAGCTAATATTATTTAAGTCAATTTGGATCCGTCGTATTTTACAACAATTGGTATCAGAGCATCCGGGTTGTGATATTAGCTCGTTGGGATCATTTTATCAAGTAATTAATCATGACTTCGGTAAAATACGATATTCCACTACTGGATCGTAACACCCGATTTCCGTTGTGGCAAGTAAAGATGAGAGACATTCTCATTCAGATGGATTTACACAAGGCGCTATTGGGTTTCAATAAGATGCCCGATACATGGACCGAAGAAGAAAAGGAGATGAAAGATCTGAAGGCTTTATCCCAGATTCGTTTGCACTTGTCAAACGATGTTTTGCAAGATGTTCTAAAAGAAACGTCAGCGGCTTCTTTATGGCTAAAGTTGGAGCAACTGTTGATGACCAAGAGCTTACCAAACAAGTTGCATTTGAAGCAACGATTGTTCAATCTCAAGATGATTGAAGGAGGCTCTTTAACTGAACATATATCCACATTTAAAGAGTTAGTAAATAACTTAGAGAATATGGATGTTCAGTATGAAGATGAAGACTTGGCTCTATTCTTACTATCGTCGTTGCCAGAATCCTATAGCCATTTTCGTGATACTATTATCTATAGCCGTGACACTCTAGTTTTAGATGAAGTCTATACAGCTTTGGATTCCAAAGAGAAGATGAAGCATATTACTGGTGGTGGTTCAAGTGATGCTAAAGCCGAAGGTTTGAATGCCAGAGGAAGAACAACAGAGAGAAGTAGAACTTCTCAATCTTCCAACAGAACCAGATCCAAGTCAAAGGGCAAACGAAAGTTTTGCAACTATTGTCACAAGAAGGGACATGTGCTTGAAGAATGCTTCAAGTTGAAGAACAAAGAAAAAGAGAAGACGGCAGCAAATGGTAAACAAGCTAGCACTTCGGGTGAAGCCGATCTAGCTGAGGTCGAAGGTATTGGAGAACTTTTGACAGTTTATTCAGATAAACTGGATTCCACTGGTGATTGGATACTCGACTCTGGTTGTACTTTTCATATGTGTCACAACAAAAGTTGGTTTTACACATTTGAAAAGGTTAACCAGGGCTATGTGTTGATGGGTAACAATACTACATGTCCAGTTCTTGGACATGGTTCAGTCAGGATCCGTATGTTTGACGGAGTTATTCGAACCATGGGGGATGTTAGATATGTTCCTGACCTCAGAAGAAACTTGTTATCTCTCAGTTCCTTTGACAAAAAGGGATACGAGTTTGCTGGTAAAGGTGGAGTTCTCAGGGTATTCAAAGACGGTTCCGACAAACTGAGAGCCGAACGAAAAACCTCAGCTCTTTACTTTCTTGACGGGCAAACAATTTCGAGTGATGCTGCTGTTGTGTCAAAGTCTTTTTCTGATCCAGATCAGTCCCGTCTTTGGCACCTTCGACTCGGCCATATGAGTTTTCAAGGCATTTCAGAATTGAGTCGAAGAGGTTTACTTGGTCAACAAAAGATTGTTGATTTAACTGAGAGCCGAACGAAAAACCTCAGATCTTTACTTTCTTGACGGGCAAACAATTTCGAGTGATGCTGCTGTTGTGTCAAAGTCTTTTTCTGATCCAGATCAGTCCCGTCTTTGGCACCTTCGACTCGGCCATATGAGTTTTCAAGGCATTTCAGAATTGAGTCGAAGAGGTTTACTTGGTCAACAAAAGATTGTTGATTTGGATTTCTGTGAAGACTGTGTATATGGCAAGGCAAAACGAGTGAGGTTTGCAAGTGGTATCCATACAACGAAAGGACCACTTGATTATGTTCACTCGGATTTGTGGGGACCGGCTCGAGTTGCTTCAAAAGGTGGAGCTATTTATATGCTCACTATTATTGATGATTTCTCCAGGAAGGTGTGGTCTTTCTTCTTAAAAAATAAAGGAGACGTTTTCTCTACCTTCAGAAATTGGAAAGTTCAGGTTGAAAAGCAATCAGGTCTGGTGGTAAAGTATCTTTGTACGGATAATGGACTTGAGTTTTGCTCAGAAGAGTTTAATGTCTATTGTCAAAAGGAAGGCATTACTCGACATCGCACAGTAGTCCATTCACCTCAACAAAATGGTGTAGCTGAAAGGATGAATCGCACCATTATGGAGAAGGTCCGGTGTATGCTTTCTAATTCCAAATTGCCAAAGTCTTTTTGGGCGGAGGCTGCTTCGACTGCTTGCTATGTTATCAACCGATCACCGTCACGAGCAATCGAGAAGAAAACTCCGTTTGAATTATGGTCCGGTAAACCTGCAAATTATTCAGATTTAAAACCATTCGGATGTCCAGCGTATGCACGAGTTGACAATGGGAAGCTAGAACCAAGAGCAATCAAATGCGTTTTTCTTGGGTACAATCAAGGTGTAAAGGGTTACAAGTTATGGAGCTTTGATTTGAAGAAAATTATCATCTCAAGAGATGTTACTTTTGATGAGTCTGCTATATTTCAACCAATTGCTGACTCTTCTAAAAGAACAGACTCTTCTAAAAGAACAGATGCATCAGATGTATCATCCGAAGCAAATAAAGAGAATGCTCAAATGGAGGTGGAGCTTCCTACTTCACCTACCACTAATCAGAGTACAAATCAGCATCAAGATTCTTCTTCGTCGGATGAGCATGTTGTTGGTGAAGATTCAACACCTTCACAACCACAAGCTACTACTCCAAGCATTGCAAGAGATAGACCGAGAAGACAGATTATTCCTCCGAAGAGGTATGATGAATCTGATTTGGTTGCCTATGCTTTTATTGTTGCTGATAATATTGAGTCTGCAACGGAGCCTGCAAATTATGACGAGGCTATCAAATCTGAAGACTCAAATGATTGGATGCTCGCTATGCAAAATGAGATGGAATCCTTGCAGCGAAACAGTACTTGGAATTTAGTTCCTATTCCGAAAGGGAAGAGACCAGTTAAAATGCAAGTGGGTCTACAAGCTCAAGGAACCTGTCAACCCAAATGATAAACCAAGATACAAAGCTCGGTTAGTAGCTAAAGGCTACAGTCAGATTCCTGGTATTGATTACACTGACATTTATTCCCCAGTTGTCAAACATACTTCCATTCGTGTATTGTTGGGGTTGGTTGCTTCTAACGATTTTGAGTTAGAACAACTTGATGTCACTACAACTTTCCTAAATGGTGAGCTTGAGGAAGAGATTTTTATGCAACAACCTGAAGGTTTTGTAGTTCCTGGAAAGGAGAACTACGTATGCAAGTTGAACAAATCTCTTTATGGCCTCAAGCAGTCTCCTAGACAATGGTACAAGAGGTTCGATTCTTTCATGACCAGTCATAAATTCAGCAGGTGCACCTATGATAGCTGCGTTTATTTTAAGAAAGGTGACAATGGTTCAAAGATCTACTTACTCTTGTACGTGGATGACATGTTGATTGCAGCAAAAGATATGAAGGAGATTCAAAAGTTAAAAGACCAGTTGAAAGCTGAATTTGAAATGAAGGACTTAGGAGCTGCCAAAAAGATTTTAGGTATGAAAATTATTCGTGACAGGAAGTCTAGGATCTTGCATCTTTCTCAGAAAAGTTATATTGAGAAAGTCCTAAGACGCTTCAGTATGCACGAAGCAAAGTCCGTCAACACACCTTTTGCAGCTCATTTCAAGCTATCATCCGCTTTGAGTCCTACTAATGAGACTGATATGGCTTACATGACACGTGTTCCATACTCTAGTGCTGTTGGATCTTTGATGTATGCTATGATCTGCACGCGCCCTGATTTGGCTTATGCTGTTAGCATGG